TATTATAAACATCTATGAATTATATATGAAAAAAATATATAAGATTCAAAATAACTCATTTTTAAATATATTATTTGAACTTATAAGTAATATATTTTCAAGTATAAATGAATTCCTTTTTGTTCTTTGTGACGATAACACAAATTTTAGCCCCGAAAAAGCCCTTTCTACAGAAACTTGTGTTGCGGAAACCGCCAGTACTATAAGGAGCACGTTTATATAATTCTGGATATTCAAATTATTTCCATTTCTAAAATATAAAAACTGAACCGTTTTTTACAAAGGTTCTTTTTACTCCTTCAAAAAAAATTATATTGGTTTTCAGATATTTATAACAAAAATTAATTTTTTTAAAAAAAATATTTAAGGGGATTCGGAATCTTTTTTTTAAAAAACAATTAAATTATATTTTTTTGCCGCCTGGCTGGCACCAGAAATTTTTATTTTTTAGAGATACTTATATGTATTACTTTTATGCTTTAAATTATTGATCTGCATCGGGCCTAATTTTTCAAGCCCGGCCCGGCACGAAATTATTTTTAAAAAAGTTTTGCCGGTCGGCCCGAACCCGAATTTTTTTAAAAAAATTTATCAGCCTGGCCCGGCCCGAATTTATTTAAATATAGAAATTAATTTTTATAATTACTCAAAATAAAAGACATTGTTATATGGCGTTTAGTTTCAAATAAATAAAATCAAAAATTTATATTTTACATAAAAAATTTAATATAAAATTGATAAATTTCGATATATTTAAAAAAATTTCCAAATGCCGACCCGACCCGGCCCGAATTTTTTTTAAAAATATTAGGCCCGGCCCGAACCCGATTATTTTAAATAGAATAAAGATCGAGCCCGACTTGAAGCCCGTTCGGGCCGGATACGGACCGTGCCTAACTTTGCAGATCTCTACTTTAAATAATTAAATACTCGAAAAAATGGTTTTAATATAAATTAAATGTAAGAAAATAAATGTGGCAATGAAAATATTCACGCCCATTCACGCTTACCACTAAAAAATTTTCGATCCGACCTCACTAAAGACAATATTTTGATTCACGCCAGAAAATTCACGGTGTTTTTAAATTTTTCAAAACTTTAATATTATAATTTTTTACACTTTTTTGAATTTATTCTATTTATTTCTTTTATTCCATAATCCATAATAACAAAAAATAAATAATATTAAATCCAAATTTTTACTTAGAAAAAGAAGAATGTCTATTTTTTTTATTTCAATTGTATACGCCTTTCCTCTAATAGGCGATTGCTTTCAGAAAATAACCTTTCATTAGAAGCCGAATTTGCCAGGGCTGGCAAAATTTTACTCTCTAATTTTCTCAAAAAAGGAAATAAATTTTCCTGTTTCCAAAACTTCAAAATATTGCCATTGTTATTTGTTTTATTTTTTTAAATTTTATTTTAATAATATTGATATTGGTATAATTTAAAAAAAAATGATAAAACACTAAAATATTAAAACAACTATATAATATGTAAAAATATATAAAATTACTAAATTATAAAATATATTAATAGTATCGAAGGCTCTAAAAAGAGCTTAATTTAATAATGAAAATGTACCTAAAAAACAAGTATAATTGTGTTTAAAAATTTCCAATTGAAGTTTTTGTTTAAGAAATAAGGATTCGCGATTTTCGTTTGTTATGCTAAAAATTTTTCTTGATAAAGTTTTAAAAAAAATATATGTAGACTGTGAAAAATTGCCGTTAGTTGAAATGACTATTGGCGAAATATAAAGTTATTTAATTTTGAATATTTATTAATTTTTTTATTTTCCCCACAATTGATGAAGGAAAGGATGATACGCAGGTTGCATCCCAAATAAAGGACTCAGACCCGACGACTTAACCTGCACCCCCTGGTCCCATTTGTTTTATGGGATGAATCTTTTAAATTCACACAGATGTTGATGCTTCATCAGAATCATCTAAAAATATGTTTCATTTAGAATATATGGTTTTTTATGAATGTAGGATGAATTAGGAAAGTTATAAATGACAGTTGGCATTGACTTATGCATATCATCTAATTTTATATCATTTCACATTTTTAAGATTGGTTTGTAAATATCTTCCTTTTCTTCGTCCATTAAAAACTTAAGGCTTTTGAAATTATGATCTAGAATTAAGCCTACCTTTTAAGTGCTTGAGAATAAATTTTAAAGTTTAAGTAAAAATTCTCACGACAAAACACCTAAACATAAAAAGAAAATAGAACTAGGAGCGTGACACCAGATGTTCATAAAATGCTGGAATATTTTTTGTTTTCAAAAATTTTTTTTTTTTTAAAAAAGAACTAAATTAAATTAGAAAATATGTATTTTAATTATAAAATTGCAAATTTATATTTATAAAAAAAATTAAATTTCCGTGATTCACGGGAAATTCATGTTCACGCCCGGGAAAAATTTTGGGAAGGCCCGTCACGCCCAGTCACGCCTGATAATTTAAAATTTATTCACACTCACGCCATAACCCTACGTTACACGATGGGTCACGTGTAATTTTACCGCCCGCGCCCAACTCTAATCATCATTATTTAATTGTTTAGATAAAAAAAATTTTCATTGATAAAATGGTTAAATTATTAAGAAATGGATCTTTCATGTTATTAAGAAGTCTTGGCAGTATATGTGATAGTAAGAATTTATCATCTCTTATATTATGCCATGTGCAATCATTAAATAAGCATTTGTATTATTTTGGTTAATATTTTTAGGCATATTTTGAAATTGGAAAAATAATTTTATGACAAGAAATCAACCTAATTTGCTAAACATCGATCAAAATTTATAAAAATGTAATAAGACCCCATTTATTATTTAATTTAATATGTATACGGAATCACGAGGTCGAGTCCTATATCATAAACCAGAAATGACTTGGTTATGGATGGGTATAGTAAAACAATAAAAAAATTAAATAAAATTTTTTTTAAAAGTACCCCATTTCCAATTTTAAGAAGCTATTGCTTCGGACTCTCACCGTTGTAGGGGCCACTAGTCCCCGGGTAGGGTTCACTCGTTCCCAAAAAAATTCCAGAAAAAATAACATTTTGAAAAAAGTATTAGATATATATTTTTGAAATTTAAAACTACTATAAAACTAATAGAGCTGAACAGAATGAGATATTTTTTATTAAAAATGATAAAGTACTTTTAATTTTAATAAGGTTAGAAATAAATAGAATAAATTCAGAAAAGTGTAAAAAATTATAGCATTAGTTTTGAAAAATTTAAAAACACCGTGATTTTTCATGCGTGAATCAAAATATTGCCTCTGGGTTGAAAATTTTTTAGTGATAAGCGTGAATATTTTCATTGCCACATTTATTTTTTTTACATTTAATTTATATTAAAACCATTTTTTTCGAGTATTGATTTAAAGCATAAAAGTAATACATATTAAATATCTCTAAAAAATAAAATTTTCTAGTGCCAGCCAGCCAGGCTGCAAAAAAATATAATTGAATTGTTTTTTTAAAAAAGATTCCAAATCTCCTTAAATATTTTTTTTTAAAAAAATTTATTTTTGTATAAATATCTGAACCATAACCAAACCGATATAATTTTTTTTGAAGGAGTAAAAAAGAACCTTTATAAAAAACGGTTCAGTTTTTATATTTTAGAAATGGAAATAATTTGAATATCCAGAATTATATAAACGTGCTCTTATAGTACTGGCGGTTCCCGCAACACAAGTTTCTGTAGAAAGGGCTTTTTCGGTGCTAAAATTTGTGTTATCGTCACAACGAACAAAAAGGAATCCATTTATACTTGAAAATATATTACTTATAAGTTCAAATATTATATTTAAAAATGAGTTATTTTGAATCTTATATATTTTTTTCATAATTCATAGATGTTTATAATAAAAATAAATTAGAAGATGGTGTTACTTCAATAAAAAAAAATTTCTAACCGTAATGAACCTTTAATAAGCTGAACCGAACCGAACCTTTATAAATTTCTTCTCAAGAACCGTAATCAAAACGTAACCATTACAATTTTTTACATACTGAACCGTAACAAACTGAACCGTTATAAATAACGGTTCAGGTCCCTGCTTAAATTTTCAACGAAATGCCATATTCCATTGAATAATCGTTGCAATGATTTTTTAAAAGAAAAAAGTTTTAACCTCATCCCTTTTCATTCATTATATGCCTTAATTTTATACTATTTACTTATTTTAAAATTCTCTTTTTAAATTCCTTATTTTGGCCTTTTAATTATATGGTGCCAGCCGCAAAAAAGAGAAGAAAAAGTAATTATATTATTTTATTTTTTTTCAAGAGGATTCGGAATACTTTTTAAATATTATTTTAAAAAATATTTAAAAAAAAAGATCCCGAATAACACATGTAGATTCAAGATCTTGAATCCCCACGTTGGGATTCCGAATCCCACATGATTCCATATCCCAATACGACATATATATCAATACTAAAAAAAATTCAAATAAATACTTTAAATTTTAGTTTATAAATCAACTTTAATTTCTACTGCTCAATATTGTATAAATACTTCTTAAATTATTTTTAACAATAGCAACCTTTTTTATTTGGGAATTTTTTTTTCGGAGGAACATTTATCTATTTCACTGATTTTTTAATTAATTTAAATATTTTTTGGAATGTAAAAAAAAGGGTTTTTTTAGGGGAATTTATTTTTCTGAGGAATTATTTTCTTTGTAAATATATTTTACGATATTTTTATTCACGGAGATTTTTTTCCTGGGAATTATTTCGAGAAATTTTTTTTCCAGAGAATTATTTACCTTAAATCAAATTAGATTGAATGACTATACCCCCCCCCCCCCCCATTTCGGCCTAAATGACTCCTTATGTAAATTTGACTATAGTTTTAAATAGTTCAGCCTCTGCACATTTTAAGAGTTAATCTTTATGATATTTTCCTCATTTACAGTATAATATGCCCGTTCTTATAAATATTCATTTAAAATTTTTTAACGTAGTCCTTCCAATTTTTATGCTCTATCCATTTGTGGGTTCTCTCAGCCTCCATATTTGCAATCGCACTCATCGGGCCACGATATCCAAATATCGTCAGAGCTATTCCATCGATTCCAATTGTCCTACCAAGATTTGTGCGATGATTCCAGTTTGTTTCATAATCCCAATCTGGTGTGCCGCATAGGAAAAAAGTTAAATATATTTTATATGAGTGAATTTGAATATCATGTCCTAATTTATTTATAAACATATTCTACTTGCGCAAAATTTAACCTATTAGAAATTTTCGATAAAGGACCTTCCTTTATATATCCTTTACAATTCATAAAATATAATGATAAAAATTATTGGGCCACATCTACAATTTCCATAGGGTTAAACGATCATCATCTTAATTCACATTTAAAATTTAGGTAAAAGTATCTTAATTAAGTTCTTAAAAACGTTTCCTTACAATAAATCAACGGATCTCGCTTGAATGACTATTTTATTAAAGTTTTAAAGTTGATCCTAAAATATTCACAATATAAATAATAAATGCATATTCTAGCATCGGTTATTAGAAGCTACGCAGACATGGGACCGGATCTATTTTAAAAAAATTTGATTTCGGGTGTGGTCTGACGAGACTTTTTTTTCACAATTTTTTAAACTGTAAATTTTTTGAATTTTTAACTATTATATTTATCTCGTTCTTTCAAATGTACTATTTAGAATTTCCTTTATATGTCGTTATTAACATAATCAGGAATACTTTCATTTTACAAAACCAACATTGATCTCCTTCACTTTATTTTTTTACATTGATATTATTACTAGTTATATTTCTATCAGCACTTTCGATTGCCCCTTGGATTTACTGGGTATTAAAATAGTAATTATTGGATAATTTCGATTTATTGATTAAATTTGTTTAAATATTTTTTAATAATGATGTTTCTTGATTTTTAATTATATTAATAGACAAAGGTTTATTCAGGATGTTCCTATAGGGAAGGAACACTATTAGGCCGGGGTTTTCCCCATAAATTTTTTTGGAAGTCTTTAGGTCGTAACCCTTTGGCTATATTATATTTAGAAAAAATAATTTTGGGTTTTCACTATTTTTTATTATAAAAATGCTTTTTAAGTTTTACTAATTTCTCTCTTAAATTCTTCTTTATAGTAATATATTATATACATTTTTAAGGAAAAATGGGAGGGGGGGGGGTGTAGGGAATCTTTAATAGCTTAAAATGATATTTACGAGAACAGGCAAATTGCAATGTGGGGAAATTTCACTCCCCCCTCCTCTTTGGCTACATGCCTGTTTATATAAATGATATCATAAGAATGTTTTATTATAGTCATCAAAATATCATGATAGTGTTTGAGAATCATAAGAATATTTTATCATCAAAATATCATGTTAGTTAGTGTTATAGGTGTTTAAATTTTTTTTATAAAGATTTTAAAAATTTCATGATAATTCCTAGTAATAAACTATGGGGTTTGATTCACTTAAAATTTATCCTTCAGCTCGTTGAGGTATTTCTCTATAATATACTTCTGTTAGTTGGTTTATAAATCTCTCCAAATTTATCTTTCAGCTCGTCCAGGTATTTTCTATATAGATCTTTCCTTTTCACACTTATTGTTGGGTCACAATTTCTTTTTAGAAGTTGGGTGGGGAAGCAGTGTTATCAATTTTTTGTTAACCACGGAATTTTATGATCTCATCGACTTTATGGCTTAGTGCTGAAGGAATATATAAACATTTTCATAAAAAAGTATCATGTATCGAAGATACTCTCATTTAGCAAAAGCAAGCATCATCGAAGATTTTTTAAAAGAATATCTCTGTCTAGATTCTTTTTTAAGGATCTGCTCAAATTCCATATTTTTCGAAAAAGGTGCGTCTTTAAGGCAATCATGAACGGAACCCATCCCATCACACTCTCTCTAACGGGATGTGTTTCAACACCTCCTGGACGGAGGTTTGACCTTCTTTTACAGTTAAATTGAATTAAATAATTGCTTTATATAATAAATATTAATTGAGTATTACATATTTAAATATATTTTAATAGATGGTTTATATAACAGAAATCATATAATTTATTAAAATAGGTATTACCCTTGGCAAATAGCTATTCCGCTTTTAACCTCAATATTCATATACACCAAGCCATATCCAGAGGTTTTTTATTCTATGTTTATTTTAATGAAAGTAATTAGTTCCTGTCAATATTGGTAATTTTTTTAGCAGAAACTTTATCGCAAATAGAACAAAATCTCGAATCAATCACTAGTTTTTAGAGTGAAACTTTATCTCGAACTTTTTATAGCTACATAAAATGAAACTTTTATTAAAAATTAATAATTAAGAAATTTTACAGTGAGGTCATTTCTCTTTAAATATAGCAAAGGCAATTTTGCGAAGATATTATAGCTAATTTATCCCACAAGGTCAATAATGTAAATCAATAGCGCGAAAGTGATACCGTAATAATTGCTTATATTCGAATATTTTGTCAAAATACCATGATTTTTTTATGGATTTAAGGTAGGGCGGCATCAAAATTAATTCAATCTGATCGATGCTCAATATATCGATTACTCATAAGTCATAACTATTTGTTTTATATAATACACCTAGATCTTTGCGCCGACGAAACTATCAGCGATATGCGCGCGAGTTTTAAAAATATAATCGGCGGCCCGCGCAATAATTTTTTATGATACATATTTTTTGGAAAAGAAAAAAAAGAGGGGAAATTGGCTATCCTGGGTCAACCTGGATATCTCCATTAAACGGAGAAGATATTTTTTTAAATTACTATTTGAATTTATTTAAGAAAAACTATAAATAAAATATACACTACAGTTGTATCGGCATATTTTTAGATCTTTATTGTATAGAAAACTAATTATAAATTCAAACTCAATTTTGTAATTTTAGATAACTTGTATAAAAATAATTTTGTTTAAATTAGCCGGATCATTTACTAGGTGTTCTAGTTGCCAAAATACAAAGATTTTTTTTATCTAATTTGGAAAGATTAGGAGAACATTAATATTCCGTGAATGGCCTTTTCCAGAAAATATGGTATTCTTGTTTTAATCCACTTAAAATCGAATCATAATTTGTGCTTGCTGTAAAATATTTATTTACTAAGCCTATCATTGGTTTTCAATCTCTGTATTAAATAAGTATTATCATACTTTGTAAGTTTAATATAAAAATATTTGAGGATTTATAATGTTGCTCTATTAGATGATTTGACAACATTTTTAATTTTTCAAATCGTGGGTCTAGAAGAGAAGCCAATGTCTAGATAATACTTGAAATAAAAAGTAAATTAAATAAATTAAAATATTTATATAATATTATTTGAAGATCACAAACAGGAAATTGTAACGCAAGTTTTTAAAACATATTTTCCTCCATTTCCGAGCTATCAAGATCTATTGTATTTAACATTTTCCTGATGACATTATAAAATACAGCAGTGATGTTTACTAATCAAAAAAAATATATAAAATTTGAAAATTATTATAAAAAAATTTATGCGCCTACGTATGTGACATAATAATTTTAAATTTCTAAACTTTAATCATGTAAAATTAGTAAGATAGTGATACAATTAAGGTAAAAATTATTGAGATATATAAAAATTGGTATCGGATTTGAATCGAATCAATTTTGTTCCTGATTGACAAATATCGGATTAGTTTCCGTCAAAAAAAATCCCTAATTTAGTGTTTAATGATAATGGTTTTCATTTTTTAAACTTTAATATTTTATTTTATGATTCTCGAGTTTTGAATTAGTTTAGAAGTTTTTTATAGGAAGATAATATTTTTTGTGCTGCTTCCATCTAAAAGTTTTATTTTATAAGAATCGTGCAACAGTTAGGAACCTGGATTTAGAGGATTTCATTAAGGCTAATTAACTTTGATTCTTACTGGAAGGGGCAAAATATGGAAAATTTTGATCCGGGGATAGAATTACCTTAGTTTTTAGGCATTATTAGTGTCATTTCATATTAAATCACGGATAAATAAATGTAAAGTATCCATACAAGGTGTGAAATAGTTAAGAAGTTTTATTTGAGTTAATAATCTTTGAAGATATTAATTTTGAAGAAGTTATTTAAGTTTACGGATGAAGATTAATGTGTAGTCACTTGTCTAAAACAGATATATTTTCAATATAGGTAGCGGCGGATACTTTAATTTTTAACTGATACAAGTGGCTGATACTCAAAAATGACAAATAATAAACCTTCATAAATATATAAAATGCTTTAGCCAAAATTAATTTATAAAAAAATATTTTAGCTAACTTGAATATATAAAAAATACATAAACTGATAAAAGAAAGAAGATGTTGTTTATTGTTGTATTTACATATTAATAGTTTACATTTTGGATGATATTGTTATTTTTTTGTAATTCCATGTATTTTACTATAATTCGGGCGACCAGAGCTTGAGCCTGTCATCCATTCGTTTAAAAAAAATGTTTAATTTTTTATTTATAAAAAGTTATTTTTTTTGCCTTTCGAAGACTAATTTACTTTTTTTCGACGATTTTATTTTATATTGAAAGACCATTAGCGATGATACTCTTATATTTTATTTAATAATGTAAAATTATAATCAATTAATAAAATATTCGCCTCACAATTTCAAAATAATCTTTATTTCCTATCAATATTATGAATTCATACATTAAATTTCAATATTCAAATATACTATATTATTTTTGGTATCCGCCGATACCGTGTTGTTACCGGTTTGGTAAAAAGTGATAGAGGGGCAAAGTTATAAACCCTGTTGTATGATTAATAAGTCGGTGTACGTCTGTTCATACCATAAATTCAACTCTTCTATTTTTACATTTTTCTTTAGTCGGATAAGGGTTAGAATTAAATATACATATAAGTTTGGCAATTTTTTGATAATTTTCTTTCTTTTTGAAGGAAGGAAGCAGTTTTGAAATTAGATGTTTATATTTATATTACACTTATTTTACTAAGATTTGTAAATTTCTGGCATTTTCAATTAAGAAATTGAAATCTAGGTCACATTTCAGTTATAGTTGAAGCTAACATTTTTCAAAATATGCTTTAATAAGTAAATTGATCTATTAACATTTTGAATACTATGATTGGTATATAGTTACATATTATGAACTAAATAAAAAACTATAGAATCAATAAAATATAATTATATGTTTATGTACCTATATATCTTATAGCAACTAATCATAATAATAAAAATAACAATTAATTATAATAATAATAATATATAAGTTTATATATTTAATTTAGACTAAACTTCTAGATCTTCAACCTCTGATCTGGAATCGTTTTCATGTTCAAACGAATATAATGAACGAATTAATTGAAATTATATTACTTGTTTAAATATAATAAAACATCTAAAAAAAATTAAAATTGATCTGTAAAATATATTTTAAAACGAAATTTCCCGTTTTCCCCGGGAAATTTCCCCTAATTATAGTCCCGAGAAATTTATATCCCTAGTTTGAATAGGTGCCTCTGTTATTATTTTTTTAAATTTATTAATTGAATTGGTTTCAATTTCTGTCCATTTCCTTTGTGAATCCTTTTTTAATAGAGTACATAAAGGTGCAGCTTGAAAATTGTTTATGAATTGTTAATAATAATTTATTATACCTATAAAAGAATTCTAATTGTAAAATTGATTTGACATTCTTATTAGTTGTCATGATGCCCTCCTTACTAATTGTATGACTTAAGAATTCAATCTTTTCTTTAAAAAAATTACATTTTTTTAAATTTTATTTTTTAAAATTTTATTTGATACCGTTTATTTCTACCGTTTTTTCACGGGTATAAGCTTTTATAAATCTTGATTGATTTCTCATTGTCAAAATATACAACCACACCGGGTAATTCTTTTAATAATAAATCCATTGCTTGTTGAAATCTTACCGGCGCTGAAGCTACTCTCCAAACAGAAGTCGCGTGGGATATAGTTAAATAGGCGTGTTGATCACTAGAAGCTTTTTGTATCTACATCTAGCTATTTGGAAATAGGCATCTATTCATAAATTTTATTCCGTTACCTAGTGTGGCTAATAATTCCTGGGTAAAGATATTGATCAATAAAAATATTTGCATAAATTGTCTGCCGGAAGTCACCACAAATTCTAAAGGATCCATTCTTTTAGGTACAGGGTACAATTGTAAAGGCAATTTTTGAAAGTTTTTGTTTTTCTTAAACCCCCATGGATTCTAGTTCCTGCAGTTCTCTTTTAAATTTGGTTTTACACGCTAAACCTAGTTGGTAGGAGTATTAAATATTGATAGCATCATATTTTATGTCTTGTATTAATCTTCGGAAAAGGAGGCTCAGGCTTAGTTAAAGCGATTAAACGTGCTCCGAAGACAATTTGGGTAATTTGAATTTAGTTGTTAATTATGTTATTGTAAAAAGTTGTTAGAAATGGGAAGGATATCTTGAATTTATTGAAAATAAAACGGCTTAGCTCTTCGATTTAATTAGATTGGCAACACAGAATAAAGGCCAAAATTAATTTTACAAAATATAATTTTAGTTCAATATAAAATGATAAGATGATCATCATTTTTATATATAATAAAATATTTACAATTAGTCATCTGCATCGGGCCTAATTTTTCAAGCCCGGCCCGATATTTTTTTAAAAAAAGTTATGCCGGCCCGGCTCGAACCCGAAACATTTTCTTAATAGTTTTGTCGGCCCGAACCCGAAAATTTACCGGCCCGGCCTGAACTTATTTAAATATAGAAATTAATTTTTAGAATTACTCAAAATAAAAGACATAATGGCGTCTAGTTCCATAAATAAAATAAAATATTTTTATTTTACATAAAAAATTTAATATAAAATTGGTAAATTTAAATATATTTTAAAAAATTTCCAAGGCGCGACCCGGCCCGGCCCGAATTTTTTAAAAATATTAGAACGGGCCGGGCCTACTTTTGCAGATCTTTATTTACAACTATATTCTTTATTAAATATAAAACTTAATTTTGTATTACAATAAGGAATATTTTAGAGTAGTCATAATGTATATTTTGCTTGTTTTTTATTTTAAATTTAATATATTTAATTGCATATATATTTTGTAAATGCATAACCATATTTATTTTAAATTTGCAAAATAATTTATTAAAGAGGGAGAGGGTTAATTGGGTTGGAAAATGATTCCGTATTTCTCTATAGACAACCCTGAGCGAAAAAAAAACCACGGAAAAATTGCACAATAAATTTGCTATGAAAATTCATTATAATGGGTTCGCGTTTTTCTTTTCTTTATGCTTTGGGATATCAAATACGCGTTATGGCCCTGAGCGAGAAAAAATCAGCGCACAATATTTTCGTTGTGAAAAATTCATTATAATGGGTTTGCGTTTTTGTTCTTTATGCTTCGGGATTCAAAAACGAGTAAAATATTTGCGATAAATGTTTCGCCTTATTGACCTGATACAGAAGGGAATCGATTGAACTAACGAGATAGTGATGTAGTCATCAATTCCTAAAAATTTCTACTGCTTGATTAATGATATTAAAAATGGATATTATTGATGCCTATAACAGTTATATTTATAATTTTAATTTAGGCCTTATATTATAAAACTTGCTTATTAAGATAATTCGAAATGATGTATTTAGATCACGATGTTTATTTACGATTTATCATTTCCTAATAATATATCCATCCATTTTATTTTCTTTAACTTAGGATCAGCTTTCGAGCTACTTAAAATTGTTGCCACCCGTTAAAAGAAACATTAATAATAAATCATCGTCCTCATGGTTTTCTTGGCGATCGTCCAAGCAGCAGACCTCATCCTCCAGAATCAACTCCTCTATTCAAAACAAAACCATGATTACAACCAAGGTTAACGAGAATAAGGTTTATTAAACCTATACACTAAATGACTTAGGAAAAGGATAATAAATTATATTTAGGTTTATTTTTAATTATGATTGAAGTTAGACAAATACAAACCCACAAATTTATATCTATATTGCGATAAATTTTTTGTTTTATTCATTTTTTTAAAAAATTGGCATAGAATAACAGAGACCCATCGCTCAAGCGTTCGACCTCATTTGATTCGGCCGAACGCGATAATAAGGAAAAAAATCAAATGTACGCATTTTTACCTATTATTCATAATAAAATGCTGGAAAGAATATGTAAAAAAGACTTTCTTAATTTTTATGTAAGCGCAGAAAATTAATATTTAACTATAACGATAGTTACTACTAAGCGGTTGCATATTCTTTAACAATAAATAAACAGTAACATATTAATATTATAAGAATATTAATTTTTTTGAATATCAACTGGAACTTTAAATTTAATACATTACCTCTAAAAAAACTTTTAAAACATATTTTAATAATTTATAGATTCGCCACTGAACTCAATCACAAATCTGTTGGACATTCACGTTGGATTAAATCACTTAGGCTCACCTCGGAACAAATAGTAGAGAATTTTTTTTTATTACTAGAATTATTTGTATGAGTTGCCTGCGTTAAACTTTTTGCCCAGACTGGATTGTTAAAATAATTATCCAGAGCAAATTTTTGTTAAGGTATCCTGGCACAAATATCTTGATATCTGTATCTTAAAATAGCGTCAATAGGGAGTGGGGCGCAAGTGCTCGAGCCCCTTGAAAAATTTGAAGATCCCCTTCAAAATTTTAATTTTTTATACACTTTGTAATTTTGATAGTGTTAGCCAAAAAAAATAAAAGGGGAATTTTGAAAAAAAATTTTAAAAAAATTAGAGCTCCCTGAGATTGTAAAGGCTTGTGAGGCACCTGGTATCTTATCTAGATACATTTTTATGCAAAGATATCTCTATATTGATACATTTTGGCTCTAGCTGTATGTGTTTATAGATACATTTGATGTAATTTTATTTTACTTCTCTATTATATTAAAGAATTTTTTAAATTTAATCCTAATTTCTTTCTATTATATCTTATATATTTTTAAAGGTTATAATTTTAATTTTATAATATTGTATTATGTTTAAAAACAATAATTGTATCGATTATGTTTAAAAACAATAATGAATTTTATTTGTAATTCTTTTGTATATATATATATATACTTTTATATAATTATCAAATTTAAATTCTAATAGTATGCGATTTGATTAACCTCAATAATATAATATTAAATATAGGAAAGTTATAATATTGTATTACAAATATAATATTCAAATTATAACCTTTTAAATTATATAAGGCATTAAGATAACATATCTTATTTCCCACCAAGTAAGGTTCGTCTATCAATCTTTTTGTTTACCAAGTTCAAATTCATCTATTTATTTCTACTGTTTTATTTTCGCTTGTTTATCATCATTTTTCTCTATTGGGTTTCGCGATAAAGCATCTGCAATTATATTATTAGCGCCTTTCTTGTACATAATATCGTAATCATATTTCACATTTCCATTATTATTATATTTATTGCTTATCCTATTGACTTTTACATTTGTTGGTAACGATAGATCAAATTCTATAATCCATGGAAATCCAAATAGTGCTGCATCATTTGTTTTTGTATCTAATGATGGAAGCCATTTTTTTTATCATCTATTTGCACTTTTACATAAGCTTCGCCCATAATTTCTATTATCTCCATATATAGTTGGAGCTCTAGTCATTCTAAGTTTTGGCCTCCTAATTTTATTCCATATTGTTGCATTAATGGTTACTGCTGAACCTGTATCATATTCCATTTTAATTTCGTGATTGTTTATTAATATCATAATTGTTTGGTGCTGCCCATATTTGTAGACTTTTCTTATTGAGAAATCGGAATCGTTGTCGTAACTCTTGTAATTTATACCATAAACCTTTCCTCTAGTTTTACAACACACGGCAAAATGGTTTGATTTCTTACATTTGTTGCACGTTTTTCTATATGCTGGACAATTCCGAATAGCATGAAAACGATTACAAAAATACGGTTTTCTTGTTTTATTATCATTTTGATAGTGCCGATTATCATTATCATGTCGATTATCATTATACTGTCGATTATTTTTATCATTTTGATTTAATCGTTTATTATTATCAATATATTTGGTCGTCTCTTTGATTTTATAAACCATTTTTGTAGTATTATTTTTATCATTTTGATTTAATCGTTTATTATTATCAATATATTTGGTCGTCTCTTTGATTTTATACACCATTTTTGTAGTATTATTTATTTCTATCACTAAAGCCATATCTACGTTTGTTTAAGCTTAACGGTTGGTTTTCGCCTTTAGTATCTGGGTATCTAACGTAGTTCTTTATCTAATTGTGACATCTTTAGTCCAGCGATTAATTGATCGCGAATTCTTAGTTCTACACTATCTTCAAATTCGCATCTTCGGGCTAGTTCTTTTATCATTACGGATTCTGTTGGTCCGCGACTTAATCTAATGAAATTAATTCTAGATGCCAAAACAGTTCTTTCATTTTTATCAAGTTGTTTTGCATAATATATCTTGGAAAGAGTAATTTTTTTATATCAGTTATAATAATTCCTCCATAAGCTATAAATAATTTTTTCAAAGTGGCGTCAGTTTGAGAAATATTTTTAACATTCAGAATACATTTGATGTAGTCTATATAGTCATCAAGAGAACACCCATCTTTTTTAAATTCTTGTAATGTAATTTTATCCATATTTCTATTTTTATAAAAGGGATTTTTTTTTACAATTCTATATAATATTTTACTTGACCGAAAACCGCGACTTTTTTTATACCTCGTCGCCAAATATTGTATCGATTATGTTTAAAAACAATAATTAATTTTATTTTTAATTCTTTTGTATCAAGCACGTACGCAGCGGGGAGGGGGGACAGGAAGCAAATCCCCCCCCCCCGCCATAAAATACAGATGCCGGATATATTTTTCAAAAATATTATTGTTTATATTAATTTATATTTGTTAATATTTATTCCTATCTTATATTAAATATGTATTTAATTACATTTATTATCACATTCATCTACTAATTTTATCAATTTATTTTGATTTCAATTTTCCGGCATATTATTTACTTTATTTTCAAATTTTTAGTGGCGTAATATTTATTTACCATTTTTAAATTTCTAGTCAAATAATAATTATTTCTAAAACTTTTTGTACAACATGGAGAAAAAAATTGCAACCTTGTCGAGATAGACTCTTCGCCATCAAGCAGTAACAGCTTTTATGGAGTTAGAAGAGCCGATTATTTGCTATTACTGAAATATCAAAATGGCCTGAAAGAAATATTTCCTTAGAAGAAAGAAAATTATTGGATTCAATGCTTATTCCAATTTTTTTTTCTCATTAGAATGTATTATTTAATTATACAACTATTTTATGTATTACTTTTCAAAAACATGACATTGACTTGATTAAGAAGATGAGAATAGCGGAGAGCATTTCATTAGAACTCAAGGAAATTAGGGCTAATGTTGATGAAGAATTTTATTTGTTATTGTTGAGTCAAAAGCAGAGCTATACGTGTTTAATATTTGTCTCCCTCGACTTGCAGCAAGGCAAGTTCATCGTTAAAACATTAATATAGGATCAGTAGAAGAATATATTTTAGATATATTTATAACCCAAATAAATGAATGGTTTTTAATTCATCATGCAACACTTACCAATCTGAAAATATTACTTCCACAAAAGCCTTACCAAACTTTTTCAGATGGTGATAGAAAAAAAATATTTGTTAGAATTTTATCATGAAGATGTTAAAGTATCTTATGATGCCTTATTAGCTGAATAACTATGTTTATAAGATTAATCATGGATGATATAGTCCCAAAAAATGCTATGGATGCTCTGCATTAATTCAAACACATTTTAGATTATATTCCCAATGTATTAAAAGGGTTTAAATATCTTAGCAACTCTTCCCATTAGTAAACTAATGAGAGAACACTCTCTTTTTTAAGAAGAATAACAGAGCCCTGCAGAGGTACCATTTTCAGTGCATGGCCCGGATTTTTTTTTAAAAATTTTCAGACCCGGCCCGGCTGTTTTTAAAATAAAATTTTCATGCCCGGCCGAAATTTTTAAAAAATAAATTATATTTATTTTTGATTTTTATAGCTAATAATAACGATTTCAAATATATACCGTTTTAAAATATACAGCCCGGCCCGGATATTTTTTTAAAAAAATTCAGCCCGGCCTGAGTGTTTTTTTAAAAAAAAATTCGGGCTCAGCCCGGGTATATTTAAAGTCCGGCTCAGGGGCCGGGCCTGCAGGTCTCTGAAAAACATACTTATGAAGTAAAACTTCTTAAATTAGATTGAAAGGTTTGGATCTTTGAATATTCATAAGCATTTGACGACAAACAAGGATGAGATAATTGAAAAATTAGCACAATCCCAACGAAGATTGGATTTTACATTGTAAATATATAACATACAAAATACAATTATTCCTAAGAAACTTTTGTGTATTAATTTATATTTTTAACATTTAAATTTTTTATAATTTATATATAAATTTTAAGGGTCAAAAACTAAATTTTATTTTGGGTCATTTAGTGATTCTTATAGTGGTTATATTCACTTTATATTTTATAATTCGCATTTATTTTATAGTTTTTCATATACTGCCAAGTTATATCCGTTTAATATTTTTTAATTCGCATTTAGTTTTTATATGCCGATACATATAATTTTTTTATAATTCACATTAATTTAAAATTGTCTATTAGAAATAGTTATTAGTCCTAATAAATTTATGCTTAATATTTTTAAAAAACAAAAATATTTCTTAAAAATTTTTATTATCCCCCCCCCCCCTTCAGTCCAAATTCCTGCGTACGCGCCTGTTTTGTATATATACTTTTATATAATTATCAGATTTAATTAATATGCTATAAAGATAAATTATCATCATAATTATAATTTATATAATATAATACAACACAATTTAAATAATAATATTTATTGGTTGTCCGCTCTAAAAATAAAAATAACTGAGTATAATTGTTTTAATAAAATAGAATGGAAGAAAAGAAGAAAATGAATTAATAATTACACATCGCTCCCCTTTTATAGGGAAGCTCTTAATTGTAAAAAAAAATTATATAAAAAATAACAAGTTAAAAATACATTTCTTTAAAATTATAAACTCCAAAATCACGCCGAAAAATTATAATTATCAATAATAAAATTATATAAATAAAAATAACTCAAAAATCCCAATACATGGTTCCATGTCAATTCAGCGAAACTTTTATCGCGAAACTTTTATCGCGAATGTCGTTTATCGCGAATAAATTTTATAGCGAATCCACATTAGCGAATATTTTTCAGCGAAAACAATATAGGAAACAAATATCGCGAATTTTTTATAGCGAAATTCGTATCGCGAAACCTTTAAAGCGAATTTTTAACATGTTAAATTAAAATTTTAATTAAGATGCACCATATAAAAGTGACAATTATCATAATCGTTA